TTCATTCTTTGCCCAAAACCTGGCAAAATAGTTACACAAGCAACAACAAAAAAAAACAAACAGCACAAACCAAAAAGTGATAGGCCCAAATTTCCCCCTGCCCATGCTGATTTTACGTGGTGGCATTTCATGTGAGGAGCTTCAGCCATGATACACACACAAAGGCAAAAGCAGACACTGTCTTTTAAGCTGAAATGTAGTGATACAACCCAGATTAGTGGGTTGGGAATCTGAGCAGGGGAGGCTGATGAGCCTCCCTGGAGTTGTAAGTGATGTCCCTGGAAGGGAGGTGAAAGGCTGTGACCCCATCCCTCGTGGTGAGGAAGTGTTTCTCCTGTCAGCTGAAATATGGCTTTGAAAGCACCAAGATGCTCCCACGTTGGCAGGGAGAAAATCATGTCTAAATTTGAATGTGTTTGATGATACTATAAGACACATAAAGCTACAATGTAATTATTACAGGAAACTCCTATTTCAGTTATTTCAGCAAAATTTCAGCACCTCTGTACATTTGAAGGCCTGGAACAAAGCAACTGGGTTTCGACTTTCACAGTTTACCTAATGTGGCATTGATGGTGAACTGTATGGTGATGTAAAGTACAGAGCTATATTTGTTTAAGGAACCTTCAGGCCGAAAATCCAGCATTGTGAGTGCTGAGAGGAAAGAGGGAAGTTCAGAGGAAAACAAATGCTTCCTGAACTTTGAGTTTCTTTGCTTTTATGTATCACCAGATTTTTCTGTGATGTGACCAGCCGTCCTTTATAAACTTTGCTTTATCTCTGTGACATTTTGCATCTAGGAAATGATTAAGCTGTCATATTTGGGGACTGAAAAGAGCAAAGGGCTGCAAGAGTTTGTTCTACCTGTTAAGTTACCCAGTTACAGCTGATTCCCTTTGCAGACATACATTTCCTACACACACACACACACCATGAGCTGGCCCTCGCCTCCTCATCACACTGTGGGAGCTGTAGATATCCAAAAAATGAATATAAATCTATATGGATGAAAAATGTACCACCTAGGGATTCAGCACAGCTCCCTATTACTTATTAGCTAGCTAGTGGTCTGGCCTGTCTGTCCCTGTCCTTGGCAATAAAATGAAGATGAAAGGGTAGCCGCTGACTTGGAGCCTCGCCTGAAAGTACAGTAGCTATCTCAGCCCTCACCTTATCAAAGGCTGGGACAGCAATAACCGTGCTAAGGGAGCAACAAGGACGTGGTAGGCTGGGCTGACAAACAGTTACACCTCGTGGGCAAACAGCAGTTTCACATCCCCATGGGCACCAAACAGCATTGGCAGCTGAGGAGAGGCTGCAGCAGATGGTGCCCAACCGTGGTGCCAGCCCGTTCTCCATGATAGGCTGGGCAGGGCACTGCCTCTCCAGCCAGGGGACCTGCCCAGGAGCTACCTGGTGAAGGTTCCTAGGCAGAATGTGGTGCCTCAGGCCACCAGAAGAAGCTCAGGTGTCACCAACCCAGTTCTGCCAGACTGGGAAAATCATTTTGAGACAAGAATCTCACAGATCAGTCCCCGCTCAGGCCAAAAGTGAATGGCAGTGAGGACAGTCCCCTTTATAGGTGTTAAAACAGTTGTCTCTAGTGGGGACAGAAAGGTGGGACTTGGACAGTCACATTTGTGTTTTAGTAGAGGTGACCATTTCAAACTTCAGGCTTCCTCAAGCGCAGCATTGAAGCCATAGGGTTTCCAGACTATTCTAGTGGAAAGCTTCCACACATAGAATTGACTTGAATCAATAACTTGGGCAAAGAAACAGTGCCTCTCATGAGAATAAATAGAGGTATTGAATCACTGCAGCTTTTGTTGGCTGCATGAAATGGGGTTTTTCCAGCTCATCAAATTTGTCCATGCATGTCTCCAAAGCACTAGGGCTACATGTGCCTGACAAATTGTCTTACACAATACAGCAAACAAACATGATTTCAGACTGTGCTCTGTCATGGAATTACTCAGTGAAGACCAGAAAGACTATATTATTTGGGGTAGATAAGTCAACCAAATCCTTGAAATTGGGAGTTCAGTGTTAGTGCTGGAGCTCCTCTCCACAGGTCAGGTTTTCAGTTAGAGGAAGGAAGAGATCCACAAAGAAAATGCTGAAGACACAACATACACAACAGAAGACATTGAACTGGCAATAGTAGCATAAAAATATATTTGCCCTGGGTCACAAGGACTTCATCAAGAGAGGATGCAAGATCTCACATGGTCTTAAATACCAAGTTCTGTGTCAAACTTACCTTTCCACTGCAAAGTAATGATGATGTGCTGGATAAATGTACGTAGGAAGGAGATGGAAATGCTGGAGCAAGTCCAGAGGAGGCCACAAAATTGATAAAGGGACTGGAGCACCCTCCCTATGGAGATAGTCTTGGAGACTTGGGGCTGTTCAGCTTGGAGAGGAGAAGGTTGTATGGAGACCACTGAGCACCTTCCAGTATCTGAAGGGGCCACAGGGAAGCTGAAGAGGGACTTTGCATCACAAACTGTAGTGACAGGACAAGGGGTAATGGATTTAAACAGACAGAGGGGAGGTTTAGATTGGATATTGGGAAGAAATTGTTTCCTGTGAGAGTGGGGCAGCCCTGGCCCAGGTTGTCCAGAGAAGCTGTGGCTGCCCCATCCCTGGCAGTGTTCAAGGCCAGGTTGGATGGGGCTCTAAGCAACCTGGGATAGTGGCAGGTGTTCCTGCCCATGGCAGGGGGTTGCAACAAGGTGATCTTTAAGATCACTTGCAACTCAGACCATTCTGTGATTCTATGCAAAATGTAGCTTGACAAGTTTTAAGGAACTTTTAGTACATTAACCAAACATAATATTGGTAAATAATTTTCCAAGTCTGTGAGTGAAGCTTGAGGTAGAAGACCTGGAGGAAGCAGGTTGCAAGAGACCTCTCAGAAAAAAAAAAAAAAAAAAAAAAAGCTTTTAATGCATTTTCTAAGTGTGTTTCAGTCTCACCTAATACAGCCCATCTGTGTTACACAGCTGATGTTTCTGGCAGCCTCAAGATCCAGGCTGGATACAGGCTCCAAAGCATTATGTAATTTGCTTCATTTTAATCCTGATAAGAAAATTCTTGGAAGTCACTTAAAAAGCAGTAACTATGGTGCTGATCTGTTTCATTTTGCTGAAATGAAGCAGAGTCCTGAAGGCAGCCAACATGATGGGAGAGATGATGCCCAGTGAGAAATCCTTCCTGTGTGTTTTCCCATTCCTCAGGGTAAACTAAGTTTTGAAAACTTAAACTTGGAGCATTCTTTTTACTCATATCTGTTGTGCTAGTGGTCAGCATTAATATTAAAGAGAAAAATTTCAAATCACATGTTTAACCTGAAAAAGTCATATACCTGCTGAGCCTTTTTTCCCTAGGTTAAAAAAAAAAAGCTAAATAAGCCACTTTCTGTTGTGTTTTTAGTGTGAGATTACCTTGTTCCATTTGTCTTAATTTTCTTTAATAGTGCTAACTCATTTCAGCTTTTGAAAATTATCACCTTGTGATAGTTGTAACTTTTAGGACCTACTTCTTTTTGCCAATTTGGAATATTTTACTATTTTTTCTCCCATCTTTTGCAGTCACTCCCTGTACAGCTTCACTGAAATCCTTTTTGCAGCTCCTCTAGCCTGGGTTCATCACAATTTCGCTTTAGTCACCTGAGCTGCATGCAGCATGCAAGAGTGCCTCCTATGGAAAATATTATCCCATATTTACAACCAGTGACCTACCAGTTTAATATAAATAATCTCTAAAGGTGTGGCCACAGACTCCACACTGAATTAGTGCATCATTTAGTGCAGCAAATGGAGAAGGGATAGGAACAATACAAGCTGGGTCTATGCTAGTCTCATCTCGGGTGGGTAAAATTAAAACAGAGATGCTTGACTGTGTTTCCTGGGGATCAATGGCAAGCATATTTCTATTTCTGCAAACAGTTTTGCCCTTAGTGAACACTCTAAAACCAACTAAATTGAAATCCCTTCCATGATTTTCTTTTCCCTCTCTTCAGCAGCAGAAAGACTGGGAGCCCTTTTGGTGGAGTGGCAGGAGCTGCTGGTTAAAACTGAGAGCGGAGCCCAGCCACCAGTCCCTCATCGTGACTTAGACGGATAATTAGTCAGGTAACAATTCCACTGTTGAAAAGCCTGTGAGGCTGGGATCAAACCAACTCAGCACTACAGGCAACTGTCATGAGATAAAAAGATAAGATGAATGAGTTTGTATTGCACTTGGAATGCACAGAGCCCAATATAGATGTAAAATATTATTACTAAATGCACTGAAGGCTCTATCATAAGGAGACTTCCTGTAAAAGCAACTGAATGGATAAACTCCAGAGACCTGGACGGGTCACAGAGATAAATCATGTCAGTAAAGCAGTACTGGTTCCTGGGCTGCACCCTGCTCTCCTGTAACAATGTCCCCTGGGCAAGGTTTATACCTGTGTGCCGTGGCCATAGCAACACCGGTGATGACAAATACAAGAGCTCCCTTGTGCCAGGTCGGTGAAGCTCGGAGAAGCAGTCTCTGGGTTTCCATCACAGCAGGGTGCCAGGTTGTGATCTTCTGGCCATGCCAAAGAGCTTGGGGGCTGCCCAGTGGAGAGCTTCAGGGTAGCAGTGGGATGAGAGAGATGCTGGACCCATCAGGACTCCAAACACTCAACCATGCAGTAGAAGGAGATACGTGTGTCCACCAAAACATTCCAGAGCCCTTTGGTGGCTCATTTGTTGCATGGTGCCCTCCTGCCTCTCAGAGGGCTGCTTTGCTCTGGTCACCAAGGTGAAGCAGATGCTGGAGCAGATCCATGGATCCAGGATCCAACCTGCTCCAAGGCTGAACACCCACTCGTGGGCAGCGTGCTACACCCAGCACTTTGCTGGCTGAGTTGCTGTGTGTACAAACTTTCCCAGGATCATCTGGACAGCTTTTCTCATCCCCTCGAGCACAAAGCTTGTAAATGGGAACAGTGCCACTAGGACAAATTTCTGCTCAGGTGACTTACTCACATTTAGCACTGCAGTTGTCTGTTCTGACAGAGCCACTACAGGTTTTTTTCCCAGAGCAAGTTTAGCTGATGATTCAGACGTGTAAAGGCAGAAGCAAAAGGATTACTTAGAGATGATGCAGGATCAATCACATATCCAAAGTGCAATTCAGAATTCAGCTTTGTTAAGGAATGATTCCAGAGCAGGGACACCAAGGTGATCAGAGGGATGGAGCAGCTCTGCTGGGAGGAAAGTCTGAGAGAACTGAGTTGTTTAGCCACAGGGTGACCCAATTGTGGCTTTCCAATACCTGAAGGCAACCTACAGGAAAGATGGAGAGAGACTCTACAAGGGCCTTGAGTGACAGGACAAGGGGGAATGGCTTCACACTGACAGAGAACAGGTTTAGATTGGATATGAGGAAGAAATTGTTCCCTGTGAGGGTGGAGAGGCCCTGGCACAGGTTGCCCAGAGAAGCTGTGGCTGCCCCATCCCTGGAAGTGTCCAAGGCCAGGTTGGATGCAGCTTGGAGCAATCTGGGACAGTGGCAGGTATCCCTGCCCATGGCAGGGGGTTGAAACTGGATGATCTTTTAAGATCCCTTCCAACCCAGCCCATTCCATGGTGCTATAATTCTTTTATGTTGTTCTTTTAGAGTTCACTTTCTTTCACATCATGATCCTGTGCCATGAGAAGTTCTCACCAGAATATCTGACACCTCATACTTCTCTTCTGAGATACAGAGACAAAAAGAAAGGCTGGCTGGCAGCTACCATAAAGTCACTGGGGTGGGTTTTTAATTCCAGGCAGACTCCTTTGTAACCCTTTGACACACCCAGTTGCTGTGGTGCTGCAAATGAGTACCAGGCTAATTGAGAACATGGGCCTAAAAATAAATGTGTCTGGGAAGTGATTTTCCCACAGAAACATCAGGTTTTCATAAAAAACTCTAGAAACATGGAAGTTTTAAGTATAATGCAGAAAGGTTTTAGGTTACCAAGCTTAGGTTTTATGTTCTTCTTTTTGACCAACACTGAAGATTTTTGTTGGGATTTCTTTTTAAAGAAAAATATTGGTTCTGCAAAGGAAACCACAGCTACTGGCAAAATAATTAAAAAGAAATAATTAAGATATTAGGTTCAGCTTACATTTTTTTCCCTGTTAATCTGCTTTCCTGCTTCTTTCATTTTTTCTGTTTTCTGCCCTCTTCTTGTCATGTGCAGCTCACTGGGTGGTACTTACATGGTAACCAATCCTTCTAAGGGAAACCAGTGCTTTCATCTTCATCTGTTCTTCCCTCACAGGTTTTTCTTTGTCCTTATTTGTTACTGTTCTTTTTCTGTCTATTTACCTTTATGAGAAGTTATCTTTCCTTTATCTTTTCCATATCATATTCATCTCCTCCCTTTTTTGTCCAGCAGTTAGATATCTCTAATAATCTTTGTTCCTTCCTGCTTCCATCTTTAATTCTTTCTGACACCTTTAATACCTGTGCTTTCATTTCTTTGTCTTCTCTCTGGATATTAATGTATGTTGGCAGTCTTTCCCACCTGTATCTCTGAATAGCACATACTCCATAGGGCTTTAAAAAAAATAAGCAATTTTTAATCACAATACTACAAGAGCTCAAGAAGTAAATATTCTTCTATTAATTTTATATGTGGTAAAACTAAAGGCATAAATATCAATTCTTCAATAGATCTGATGTTTCTTTCATCCTGTCCTGTGGTCAGGACTTCTGCAGGCTTCAACCCTACTTTATTCTTCATCTTCTATCACTTGAAATTTGTCCCACAAAGTTTTTTGTGTGGAGATGACCAGGCAGCAGCAGCAAAAGCATTTGGTCTGAGGGGACCTAGATAAGAAAGCACCACTTGCAGCATCTGAGGTCTCTGCTCGTGGCCATACAGTGAGAAACACAGAAAAAATAGTTGTGAAGATCACGTAAACTTCATTCCACAGAACCACAGATTGACAGGTTGGGTCAGGTTAGAAAGGACCACAGATGCTCCTCTGGTCCCGCCTCCCTGCTCCAGCAGGGCCATCCCAGAGCACAGAGCACAGGATTGTGTCCAGATGGCTCTGGAATGTCCCCAGTGAGGAGACTCCACAGCCTCTCTGGACAATCTGTTCAGGGCTCAGTCCCTGCCCAGGACAGAAGTTGTGCCTCCTGTCAGTGGAGCCCCCTGGGCTCAGTCCCTGCCCGTGGCTCTGGTGCCATTGCTGGGCCCTGCTCGGAGCCCTCCCTGCACACAGGGACACCCAGGGCTGAGGGCCCCTCTCAGCTGGGGCTCCTCTCCAGCCTGGACAGCCCCAGCTCCCTCAGCCTTTCCCTGGCACAGATGCTCCAGGCCCTGAATCATCTCTGCAGCCTCTGCTGGCCCCAATCCAGGAGCTCCCTGTCCCTCCTGTCCCGAGGAGCCCAGGACTGGACACAGCTGTCCAGATGTGCCTCCCAGGGCTGGGCAGAGGGGCAGGATCACTCCCTGACCTGCTGGCACTGCTCTTCCCAGTGCACCCCAGGCCATCACTGGCCTTCTTGTCCCCCAGGTCACTGCTGGCTCATGGAGAGCCTGTTGTTCACCAGGACCCCCAGGTCCTTCTCAGCAGAGCTGCTGACCAGCAGGTCACCCCCAGCCTGTGCTGGTGCATGGGGCTATTCCTCCTCAGGTGCAGAATCCTGTACTTGCCCTTGTTGAACTTCAGATACATTCCTCCTTGGAGACATGGAAAGATACAGGTTATACAGGTTCAAGTCTGCAGGTCATTGTACCTGCAGAAAACTTCATAAATGGCAGGATGAGCTGGGCTGCTAGGAGAATAAGCAGCCTGCCCCTGAGAGGAGAAAACAAGAATGGGTTAACAGACACACAACATTTTCATTTGGGTTGATGAATGGTTGGAGGCTGAGTTTCAGATTCACTAACCTGGGTGTTTTTCACATGAGTTTGGGTTTCAGAATGAAAGCTGGCATAATGGTAGCAGGCCTGTGAGAAGAGAGGAGGAATTTCCTGCTGCTTCAGGGTGGGAAGGGTTAGTACTTGAAAACTTCAAATTACTTACATGTGCATGATGTGTGTCAGTGGAGGATTTTTTTAATCATTAAACTAAAGTATGTATTTGGGTCCAGTCTGTTGGGCTCGCAAGTACAACAGATTTAGGAAGTTCTGTTTCTGCAGATGAGAGAAATCTGATAAAACTTGGAATGCACTTCCAAGCAAAGTTTACTAACTTTGAGAGGCCTCTGCGGTTCTATTTTGCGTTAGGACCGTGTGTTAATTATAGATCTTCTATTTCTAGTGCAAGCTCCCTTCTCACCACCCCAAAATGAGTTCAGTATAGTTTCAAGGAAGAGATAGGCTAAGCACAGTGCAGATCAAGCACAGTGTGGGTTTCATGCTTTTTCTCATCTTTTCTGGGAAGCTCAGACATTTCCAGAGGAGGTGGGTGGGAGACAGTAACATTCCTCAGGCTGATCAGTTCTGCCCTTGCAGGACAGAAGCTTGGGCTCAGCAATCTGTGCTTTGGACATGTTTGTGGAGGCCCCAGAAAGCAGAGTGAACATCCAGAGTGAGCTCTCCTTGAGGTGGATTCAGTGTCTATTCCATAAATCCCACAGCAGACCCCCTAACACGATTCTCCTGTGGGTCATCTGGACATGCTGTCACTGCCAAGGCTTTGCTCTGTGCCACCCATCCTGCTCGGGGCTCAGCCCTGTCAGCTCCCATCTGCTGCACAGGTTTGGGCTTGAGTGGATCACCAGGAGAAAGAGGCAGAGCTGGAGGAGGCTGGGCTGGTGACTCAGTGGGCAGAATTCTTCCTTCTGAGTCAGGGCTGAGTCAAGGGGTGCTAAGGGGGACTGTGCTGCTCCAGCTGCTGGGTTTGGGACACAACTGAGAGACCAAACTCCCAACCACCCAGCTCTTCAGGAACATCTATGGTTCTTCCTCAGCAGCAGTGGTATTTACCCCCTGTCTTAACCACATTCCAGTGTGGAAAATGTATTTCACTCACCTCCAGCTCCCTCTGTTACCCAGTGAAACACTTCATTCTTCACTACTGCAGGACAATGCATCAGTAAGGATATGCAGTATTTCATGTGGCCTTTTGGCTTTAACATTGGCCAAAATGGCTTGCATGCACACTGCAAAAGTTTGGGTTTTTTTTCCATATGCCTCTTTTATGCATATCAAGGGACATCCTGGTCATCCTGCTCACAAATGCACAGTACTTCCAACTGTGAATCAGGAGTCTGCATAGATAAAGAGAGCATCACATGTCTCCCAGCCCAGTTTATCTCAGGGCAAATAATACAAGGGGCTAGCTATTGATTTAATAATGCAAAGTCCTTTTACACCATCAGTTCACAGTGAAGTGCAAGTATTAGTGTGACTGAGGCAACAGCCTTCAGCACAGATGGCTTCTCCTGGTCTCAAAAGGTCCAAACTCTTCACCATGTCCTCTTGCTATTCCATCCACAGCAACAGTGACTTTTGAAAGCAACCAACTCTGCAATGTTGGTGCTTGAGCTCATTTTGGGATCCCAGAATATCTATAACTGGAAGGGGCTCGCAAAGGTCACCCAGTCCAACTCCTGACCCTGCCCAGGACACTCCAACAATCCCACCCTGTGCATCCCTGGCAGTTCTGTCCAAACACTCCTGGAGCTCTGGCAGCCTTGGGGCTGTGACCATTCCCTGGGAGCCAGTGCACCACCACCCTCTGGGGGAAGAACCTTTTCCTGATATCCACCCTAACCTTCCCCTGACACAGCTCCAGCCGTTCCCTGGGTCCTGTCCCTGGTCACACAGAGCAGAGATCAGGGCCTGCCCCTCCTCTTCCCCTCCTGATGAAGCTGCAGAACTGCTGTGAGCTCTGACCTCAGTCTGCTCTTCTTCAGCTGAACAAAGTGTCTTCATCTGCTCCTTGTATGGCTTCACCTCCAGACCCTTCAGCATCTTCGTAGCCCTCTCTTGGATACTCTCTAATAACTTTATGTTTTTCTTATACTGAGGTGCCCCAACTGCCCCAGGACTCCCCTTGTCCCTGCCTTGCTCCCTTGCCATGGCTGACATGCCTCAGTACATGCCTCCCAGTGATGGAGGCTGTGTGCCAGCATTGAGACACACATGCTGTCCGATACTTGCTTCGTTTGATTTGTGATGACAGCTCTTTATAGGTGTCTGAGAAAAACAAATGAATGAAGAAGCAGTTCCTGGTGGCCTCTGCCAGCTCTTGACAATACCAAATAATTTACTTTTCCTGAAACAGACCTGATGCCTCTTGTGGATGATGTGGCGCGTAGGTGTCATGTCAATCAATAAAAATTAAAAGTTGCTGAAGGGCAGGAACAGCAGCTGTGAGATTTCTTATTGCTTTTCATTCACAGGGAAATGGTATCAGACTGCTTAGTGACTTATGTGATTTACTGTCACATTTATCTCACACGCTTCAGCAAGGACTTGCTCAAGCACATTGATTTTAGACCCCAGCTTTTAAAGGTGGAAGACAAATGGTTCATTCATAAAAACTTATTTTTGAAACTTTGTTTCGTATCTAAGCTTTTCCCAGAGCAGCTGGTATGGACCCCTTTATATTCAGGAAGCAGTGCACATCAACCATGGGATGCCCCTGGTAAACAAGCAAGGAGAGAGTAAAGGGACATTGCCCAACTTCAGTGTTCTTGTGCCAGATATATCAGCAATGCCCTTGTGCCTGAAAACAACCAAATAGATAAAATTAGGTATTGCTAGGATTTAAAAAAAAAAAAAAAAAAAAAAAACCAGTTTATTTTTTGTTTGAAATCTCTTTACCATGAGGTCTGATTAAAACGTTTCTATTGAAATTTTTCTTTGGCAGGTAAAGCTGTTTCAGACAGAGCAGATCTCACAGAAGACTGGATTCACTGAGGAAGATGTTCCTGCTACAGAATGTTTAGACATTTCACTGGAAAGCAGAAATGCCTCTGACAAAAGGATAGATGCTGTGCCATGTGTTAACCCAATGCTACACACAAGGAATTCTGCTGGAGAGCCCAGGAGGTGACACCCTAATGTGTCTGCCATTGTCCTGTTGCTTTGTCTTTACAATAAGTTCTCTAAAGCCTCCATGTGTCACCAGCCTAATGAGAATCCACAACCAGCACAGGGTGGAGGCACCCAGAATTACACTCTTAAAATGTGGCATATCCCTTTTGTTCAATATTTCATTTATTGGGCAATATAGCTGAGGTTTTGGCTTTCAGTCAAAAACAAAGATTTTCCCAAAAAGAGAAATTGGATGAGGAATTAAAGAAACTCCACTAAGTGACCAAAACACCTCCCAAGCACCATTTTCCACGATTCATATTTGGAAGAATTAAATGCGGTTTTAGTGCAAGGAATAACTGTATGCTAGCCCTAGGGTTATGAACTGGATAAGCTATTAGGAATTTTCCATTTCTGACTGACTGTGATCTCACATCAGTGTAACTCTGCTCACTTCAGTGGAATTACTTCAGAATTGCTCTGATGGGAAAGCAGAATGAGGTCCTGTGATTCTATAACTATTTCAACTAAGCTGTTTGCATATGCCTGAGAGAAGCAGCTCTTAAGAAAATATAGTGGAATTTAGAGCCCGTTTTTCATCAGTTCAGTTAATCAGTTTACTTTGGTCTACTGATCACTTCTGCTGCTTTGCATGTGATTGTCCTTATAAGTGAGGTCAGTTTTATAGGATAGGAAAATACCCTTTATAAGTCCAGATGGTATCATTAGAAGAAACATACAAGTTGGGCACTTCTAAAGTTTTTTCTTTTCGTCTTTCTGAAGACAAATTTAAACAGTAATTAAGGATTTATTGTTCTATGTTATAGTTTATAAGAAATTACAGATTGTTGTTATAAGGCCCTAAGATCTTGATTTCTTTTGCTTCTGTCAATAGGGAATTACTGCTGACCTGTTGAGCAGGTCCTTGAAGGTTTGTAGAAACACTGCAAGATCCTCATTTACACCATGGCATATGGTTCCCATCCAACTAGAATCACAGAAACACAGAATACCCTGAACTGGACACAAGAATCATCGAGTCCAGCTCCAGGAGAATAAGAACAGCAACACACCAGTGTTTTATGAAGGAGCGCCTTGAGTTCCCTGTCCTGGAATAGGATCACAAAATGCAGAGCTGTTCAACAGGGAAGTGGATTTCAGTGCTTACTTGGCTACACTGGGAGTCTGAGGAGACTGAGCAGAAAGGGTGGGAAGGGCAGGAGATCCTTCTCACCACCTCTTTCCTGTATGGAATATTCAGTATATACATAATAGCAGGATCTTAGCAATAAATTCACAAAGTGGCAGAATAATTGAGGTCCAAAGACATCTGTGAAGTCCAAAGCCCCATTAAGAGCGAAGCTAATTTCTGTCATAAAAAAAAATAAAAATCAAGGTCTTTCCTAGCTAAGTTCTGAATATCCCAATATTGATATGTATGGATATGCCTGTTTAAAATTGATAGAGAGTAGGTTTAAATTGGATATTAGGAAGAAATTCTTCCCTGTAAGGGTGGTGGGGCCCTGGCACAGGTTGCCCAGAGAAGCTATGGCTGCCCCAACCCTGGAAGTGTCCAAGGCCAGGCTGGATGGGGCTCTGAGCAACCTGGGATAGTGGAAGGTGTCCCTGCCCATGGCAGTGGGGTGGGAACTGGATGAGCTTTAAGGTTCCTTCCAACCCAGGCTATTGCATGATTCTACAATATGCCTGTAGGCATAGGACCAGTCATTTATAATGTATCAAAATAGATGAGTTTGAGGGCTGGGATCAGATTTATTTCAGGGTTGGAATAAGACTTCAAGTGGTTTTAAGCTTCACGGATTTTGGAGAGGAATATTTTAACCAACTTAATTCCATAGGGTTGAATCCAGCAGTTATCAGTATCCCCAGAGGAAAAGAAGCGGCTTCTGCAGTCTTTTGATTAACTGAGCATAAAATGAGCCTTCCTCCCCTTACTGTTTTAATTAGATATAAATGAACCAGTTCAAACCACACAAAAATTGACTCCTGACTCCTCTGCATGTAAATTAACCACTAGGTCACAGTTTTATTTTTTTCCCTGAGAAAACGAATTTTCCCAGAAGGGGGGATGGCATTTAGAAGTTACTTCCACTGTATCTTCCTCCATCCCAGAGCTTTCTTACACATGGCTGTTCAAGTGACAGGAGGACTAAAGCCAGGTTGGATGGGGCTCTGAGCAGCTTGGTCTAGTGGACGGTGTCCCTGCCCATGGCAGGGGGTTGGAATGAGATGATCTTCAAGATCCCTTCCAAGCCAGGCCGTTCCGTGATGTTGTGATTGAACAACCAGGAACCATGACCCCAGCTTGGTTGGTCAGCAAGCGCTGGCAGATGTCGATGCTTGGGTGGTCGAGGTTACAGCTGCAAAGGAAAGGAGAGCAGGTTTACACGTGTGAGCTGTTTGCCAGCCTAGAGGCAATGCAGGCTGGTTTTTGAGGGGGTTAGTGTGGGGGAAAGTCGCGGGTCGGGCGGCTGCGGTAGCGCGGGCACCGCTGCCCTCTGCTGGGTACCGTCCCGCCGGGCACTGCCTCCCGCAGCATCCGCACGGCCGGCAGGAACCGGCACTGTCCCTGCTCCCTGAGCTCTGCCACAGCCTCAGCCAGCCGAACACTGCTTTGTGTGCCTCCAGTCCAGCGGCACAGCAGCGGAGGAACACCTCCTGCAGGGATGGAAGGGCTTATCAAGAGGGTTGAGTGTGAGCTTCCATCACACCCAGCTGCAACCAGCTGTGTCCTGCTGTTATCCCAGAGCACCCTCTGGGATGGCAATGCAGTTTTGCTTCTTCCTCACGGAGTGAAGAAAGCATGGATGTGTGTATTTGCTTATCCATCCCATGGCTACCCATCCTAGAACTCTGTCTTAGATGAAAGTGCCCTAGGGGTTCTCAACAACAGCAGCTGAACATGAGCCAGCTGTGCACAGGTGGCCAAGAGGTGAATGACACCTGGCCTGAATTAGCAATGGTGTGGCCAGCAGGACCAGGGCAGTGACTGTCCCCCTGCTGTGGGCACTGGTGAGGCCACATTTCAAATCCTGTCTCCTCTTCTGAGCCCCTCATGACAAGGATATTGAGGGGCTGAAGGGTGTCCAGAGAAGGGAATGGAGCTGGGGAAGGGTCTGGAGGGTCAATCATATATAAGGAGCAGCTGAGGGAGCTGAGGGGGCTCAGCCTGGAGAAAAGGAGGCTCAGGAGGGGCCTTCTGCTCTGCACAATGCCCTGACAGAAGGTGACAGCTGGGGGGGACTGGGCTCTGCTCCCAGGGAACAAGGGATGAGATGAGAGGGAATGGCCTCGAGTTGTGCATGGAGAGGTTCAAGCTCAGGATGTCAGGAAAAATTTCTTTACTGAAAGGGGTGTCAAGCATTGGAACAGGCTGTCAGGGAGGTGGTGGAGTCACCATCCCTGGAGGTGTTCAAGACTCAGAGCTCTGATCTGATTGACAGAGCAGTGATTGGTCACAGGTTGTACTCAATGATCTTGGGAGATCTTCTCCAGCCTAAATGATTCTGTGATTCTGTGAACATTCTCTCTGTCTCACTGTCTCTTGCACTGAGAATATGTACCCATAAAACCAGCTTCCCTGCATTTTGGCTAGCTATAGAAAGCTCCATATGGGCCTATTTCTCCTCTGACAAACCCCAAAGAAAGCTTCACCCATGAGCTTTAAAATCCTACAAAACTCATAACTGAAGGACAGTTTTTAAAGCCTCAGCCTTTTAGATAAACCTGTCCAAACCTGTTCACTTAATTAATGAACAAAGATGCAGGAGATGCAGACCCATGAAATGAAATGTGAAAACTAAATTCAGCCTAGCCAGGGAGTCAAATGTGTAGAGGGAACTGAAAGTTGCTGTGCAAGGGGTAGTTCTGAAAGTGTACAGGAGTCTGATCTAGGTCAGAGTTGGACTGCTGTTAAAATTGGCTTTATCTGTATCTGTAAAGAGGTTGTGGGGGATTAAAGAATACTGCAAGGCTCTTAGAGTACAGAATGGAAATAGAGGGGCAGATTGAGCTGCTGAAACTTCTGCAAGGAATTGCTAGGTGACATGAGCAAGTAGATCAAAATGTTGGCATATTATACAACTGCACAGTGGTGGGGATGGACAGACAGTACAGAGGGAACTGGAAATACTGTTCAGCAAAAATAAGTTTCTCAACCATCTGAGAGAAAATACTTAGAAATCAAACTACTCAGCAGGAGGGTGGAATTTGGAAAGCATTCAATGCTGAGAGACTCCAGGGTGATAAGGGTAAAATAGACACAGAGTCATAGATTCATATAATGGTTTGAGTTGCAAGTAACCTTAAAGATTGCCCAGTTCCAACCCCTGCCAGGGGCAGGGACACCTTCCACTATCCCAGGTTGCTCAGAGCCCCATCCAACCCTGCTCTGGACATTTCCAGGGATGGGGCAGCCACAGCTTCTCTGGGCAACCTGTGCCAGGGCCTCACCACCCTCACAGGGAACAATTTCTTCTTTATAGCTAAACTAATCCTACTCTGAATGAAGCCACTGCCCCTTGTCCTGTTACTCCAGGCCTTTGTCAACTCTCTCCATCTTTCCTATAGGCTCTCTTCTGGTACAGAAGGGCACAATAAAGTCACCCCAAAGCCTTCTCCTCTCCAGGCTGAACAATCCCAGACTTTCAGCTGGGAATCCCAGTCCTCTCAGACTTTCTTCACAGCAAAGTTGCTCCATCTCTCATGTGGGTCTTTCATAGCCCATAGGGTGGCAGCCAGTTTATGTAAGGATCAGTTGCAGCCTCCAGAGGCATCTGAAGGCCTGCCCTGGTATTACAACACAGCATTCCCCCAAAAAATGTGAGATATTATGTCTCAGTTCATCCAGAGGGAAAATAAGGCATGGAAAGGTTAAGTGACTTGCTTTGTGTTGCGCAACCAGGAATGGAAATAGCTCTCAGATCTTTTATTCTTAACAGCAGCCAGCCAAGGGAACCTCTACTTGGATCTCAAGGGATTCCTTCCTCCTAGAAAGGCTCTCATTTCCCGTAAAAGCAGGGAGGCTGGGTGGGAACAACCCGAGGGATGCCATGCATTGTTCACGTGCTTGCAGCAGTGTGGAATGTGAAGGCTGAGAAGCAGGAGGCAGCAGTGCCTGGCCAGGAGAGCAGGAGCAGTTCAGGTGGCCCTGGCAGGGGTCCACACAGCAAGCCAAGGGTGACTCAACAATCAGGGAGGACTCAGCCAGGCTGTGCTGGACCTTGCAGCCAACTGGTGGAAAGAAGTGCCATGTCCTAATGTCACCTCAGTGTGGCTGAGTAAAGAGCAGACGAGGCTGCTTAAATCCTAAACCTCCCCAGATTCATGGCAGGAAACCTGAAACCCAGCTCAGCAAATCGTGACTTTTGTGCATGGGGCAAGCCCTACATAAACTGCATATGAACTAAAGTTTGGGGCTTAGCAACACTAAAGGCATGGGGGCAGAAAGGCTAATTAAGATGTTTAATTAAGATGGTGCTTAATGAGTTTTGGGAACGAAGAGATCCTTATCTATCTTAAGTACTGTGGGTCTACAGCAGTCATTTAACTGTACTCGGTGTCACTTAACTACAAAATATGAAAAATGAACCTTTTAGGAACTATTTTGAGTGGTGAAAGGCAAAACTAAATGTGGGCCAAGGAATTAAGCAGTGGAACTGTTAGGGAAAGGATCAGGAGATTCTTCCTAGCAGTGAGGTCTGAAAGTGTAGCTGGATCTCAAGGGAGACATGAACCCCATGTCACTTGGGTGAGTGAGGAGTGCATGGTCCTTTCCTGCCCTCTTCCAAGGGAGTGGGGCTTGTCTCCTCAATCTAAAGAAGCCTTTCCATCTCTAATTTCCCCTTCCTTTGTTTGAATAGGTTATCTGATATAATTACACAACATTCAAGTGCAGGAGTGCAGGAAGAAGTGATAAAATCAAGAACAGCTTTAATGAGGCCAGAAAAGGAAGAAAAACTGAGTCAACTCAGGGGAACTTCAAGGTCCTTTTGGTGCTATTCAAGCAAAGAAATGGGAATATTGCTAAAACAGGAGAAGCTGGGTGGAGTCAGAAGGTTGATTTGGAACTAGCAGAGCATTCAGAGGTTTCAGCAGGGAGCCTTCAAGTTAGATGGTGTCAGGAACACACAGAGGAATTTGGGTAAGCAAACATCCCGTTGTGCAGACATGCACCTCTGGCTGCTGTAGAGTGATGTGTTTGTTGCAGGGGGAGGGACTGAGGAGAGTGACACAGATAAGGAAGGATGGATGGCCACAGAGGAATGGCCACATCCCCACAGAGATCTGGCCA